GTGCTGTCACGTGTTGTACCGACATGACCCAAACACGGTTTCAAATGCCAATCCAAACTAAAAACATGTAAAGTCAATTAATACTTTTATAAGTTATTTTTCTTAACTTTTTTAGTAAAATATATTTATTTTTCTATATATTTAAATTTCAGTTTTAGTTAGTCATATTTATATTAAACTATTAGAATATGCGGTCAATTTAATTTAACTTTTGTAACAATATTTATCATTAAACTTAAGTATCAATTAGATACTAAACTATGCTTTCCAAGGATTAATTTAATATTTATAAAGTTCAAGAATCAATTTATATTTATTTATATATTTAAAGATGATTTTTTTTCTGAATAGCTAATTTAGTACCAGTTTACCATTTTAATGATAAAAGAATCATTTAACCATTTTGTAAAAACTTAGAAAATGATATTTTATAAATGATAATAGTTTAAAAAGTAATAAAACCCAGTTATTTTAATATTATATAATTTTAATATAAACAGTTTTTTTTATAAACGAGTTTCATGATTTTAAAACACACAATCTTTTTAGAAATCATTTTTCTAGAGTTTTCTAACTTCTATCTAATGGTTCTTCTGTCCTGCTAGTCTGATTAAAGAACCGAGACGGTAGGATTGATCTTTTGCGGCGAGTTCTTTAATATAGCTTGATCAGTTTCTCCGTTTGAATAAGTTGAGTTTTTAACTGTTTTTCTTGGTCTTTTCTTGTACTGATTACATGTAGGACCCGCTTAGTTTGCATGCGTCCTTTGAGTTTTCAGTTTAAGTCTCTAGTTACTTGTGGTTCTAACATGTATATCTTGAATGTATTTTTGTTATTCGTAGAAGCATATAGAACTTCCTTGGCTTTTGGAGTTGTTTTAGGACCCTTAGAGCTGTTTGGTCATCTGTCAAATAGAAAAAACTAGTTTATTTGATTTGGATTGGTAGACATGTTATATTTGATGCTTGTACGATGATGTGATGATTTATTTGTGAAATTTGATTGAATTATGAAATTTGACAAATATTGGTTTGGTTAATTTTACCACTCATAAAAAACATTATTATCCAAAATTAGTTTGAGTCTTCTACAACGACATGCATATTTTTTATGATGGAGTAATTCACACTGAAGTAAAAAAAATTCAAATTGACAATAACTCCATCAATATTTTATTCTTTGACAAACATATCTTCTCAATGAATCTCTTTTGAAGGAAATATGTCCGATGAGTGGAGAGATAATTACTTTACTTTAGATGCTAGGACAATGATTTGTAACTCGAATGTAAACATTATGGGTAGAATACTTGTCGAGATGATGAAGGTTGATAGTAGAATAATCCACTATATTATATGTCGCATTTTGGTTCCTCACACAACTAACCTTGCACAGACAACAAAAGAATATCTAATTTTGGTGTGGACACTTTCTACTACAAGGGACATGAATCGAGCTCATCTCACCAGACATCGAATAAAAAAGGCGTTACAGGACAATGCTTCTCTACTATATTCCCAACTCATTACCATATTTATGGAGCACTTTGAAGTTCCTTTTGACAATGAGCCTTATGTACCAGTTAAAAGGTCTTTCAAAATTAGGGTTGGAGTTATATGTTCATTTGGTTTTGTTAAAAACACATATTGACAATAGGTTCATAAACGAGATGATGCTCAGCCAATTCATAATGAATGCCCATGATCTCCAACCCGACAATTTCTTCAATTATGCTGACTAAAATAATGAACGTGATTCGTGATATTTGGGCATTTGTTGGGAACAAATTTGACAACATTAATGCTCAAGTTGCACATCTCGAAGGCAACATGAATTATCTTGGTCGTCACTTTGGGCCGCTAGGACCCTCTAAAATTTAATTGTATTATGTTTTTCTTTTATTATTAAGTTTTTCTACTGACTTTTATAAATTAATAAGAGTATTAATAAGGTACAAACCACATATGAAAAATCACATTATCAATAACTACATAAACTCTGTTATAGCCATTTTTTTCACTCATAATTGATTACAATATCAATTATAACATTATTGTAATTAATTACACTGAAGTCGTGCATCTCTGATGATTTCAACATTATGTAATTGATTAAAAATGTCAAAAAAATGTTTGGAGAGTGTATGACTTTATCTTTTAAAATTATCCTAACCTGAAGTTGTACATTCCTACATGACTTCTTCATTTGATTCATGTGAGGATTGCACGACTTGCCTATAAACATAATTTTAAAATTTAATAACAAGAAAATCATATTTGTCTATAAACAAAAGAAAACTTTAGCTCACAAGTTTAGCAGAGTATTATCTAAAAGTTTTTCTAGTTATAAAAGTTAATTACGAACTTAATACCTAGTAAGTTATGAAAAGTTAATTACAAACTTAATACTAATAAAAGTATTATGGGATAATTTTTCAAAGGATTTATGTGTTTTGATAAGTGGCAAACTTGAATAAACCAAAACCAACTCAATTTGTTTGGTTTAATTTATTTTAAAACGTTTGAACTTCACTAACTTTAAACTTGTTTATACACAAGTTACGTAGCATATTTAACTTTAAACTTTAAACTTAATATCTAAATTTTTTTATCCTATTTTGTCTTTTTGAATAGTATAATGTAATTTTTTTGGATTGTGCTGTGAAATTCAGAAGTCAAAAATAATTTTTGAATTGCCTAACTTAAAATTATTTTTTATCTTTTAAATTATGCAATTCAGAAAATCTTTTAAAGAAAAAAATTCAAATTATATAATTTAAAAGTTAGTTTTTGAATTATACAATTTAAACCTTATTTATAATATAGGAATGTAAAATCTAAAAAGAATTAAAATAAAAAAAGTTATAAAAGTGCAGGAAGAAAGTTACGGGGATGCAACGTGAGAAGAAAAAAGCGTGGAATGTATTTCTACCATATTTAACTCTGATATAATGTTGGGTGTTAAAAACCATTTTATAAAATATTTTAAAATAAATTTAAATATTCAAATCTAAATAATTTGATAAACACAAACTAATCTAATAATGACGGATTGAGTTTACAATAAAATGACACATTTTAAATATATAGATTTTATTTATTATAAATTAACTTTATCAGTCAACCCCTCAAGTAATGTTGATTATAGAAATATAAATCAATGGAATCCTAGTGAAACTAATTGTAGATATATAGAGATTCTTTAATTTTAAATGACTTTTTTACTTTTGGAGAGTCTTAACAAATCCTTTTAAATATTTATGAAAAAGATATTCTATTACTATAAGACAAAAGTTATTTTGTTATATTTTTTCGATTGAATGTGTAGAAAAAAGTTATACCAGTAAAATAAAAATAAAAATAGTTATATTTGCTATTCTTTTAACATTCTATATTCAATAATTTACACTTTTTAACCTATACTAAAACTTGTACTAAACATTAAATGCAGTGAATTTATTTCTCTTTCACAGGTGGACTATTACTCCCTGCACTTCCATAATTATTAACTCTACTTCATAATAAGAGGAATAAAAATAAAACACCCTTCGCTATTGTCTCACACCATTTACTGCTAATGTTGTCACCATGGCCCTACTGGAAGAAGAAGAACTACAACGAAGGAAAAATAGAAAAAATACGAATAAAAAAACAACTCATTCCGAACAAATATTTCAAAACATATTTTATTCGTTCTAGAAGACTTTTTTAAACATATTTAATGTACGAGTTCTTTGGAAAACTCATTCTACAAGAAATTATAAGCGTTTCAGAATGTTTATTTTCAAAATACGCTCCAAAATAATTTTTATGTTTTCACAAACTGTTTTGAAAATTGTATTTTGGAAATCTTCTTCTGGAAATTCTGAAAAAACATTTTTCGAATTTTCTGGAGAGTGAAATGGTCATATCGATAATCTGAGGGGAGTGCACAAATAAATTATGTCGGTGCAGGAAGCAAAAGCCACACAGATTAAATTCAGAGACCCATTTCTTCTGCACGGCCAGAGGGTGTTAGAATAGTAAAAACATGTTCATGCTTTAGAGTTCTGAATTGTTTAATTTGGAAGCACGTATTAAATTGCAAAGTTTAAATATATTTTCAAATTAGGAAATACATTCCACGTTACGAATTATATAAACAACAACAATTTTGAAACCTGTAAATATATTATCAATTTTTAATTACGTAATCTAGAAATATATTTTGGATTGACGACCAAAAAAACAAACCACAAAAATAAAACAAATCAACACCCCATGCATTACCTATTACAATCCTGTTTCATATAATTATCAAACCTAAATTAATTGTTTTTTGGTTTCCCCCCCCCCCCCCCCCCCCCATTTTCCCTTCAGCAATCCCAAGTAATTTAGTTATAATTAACTCATGACAAACTGGTATGATTGGATAAAGTTTCCAAACTTATTTCTATAACTTGATGAGTTAATTTTACAAGCTCCTCAATGGTCACTGGTGTCACACAGATCTATTACTGTACATTGAATGATATATTGAATGTACAGTTTCTGTAAGATGAAAACCATCCCAAAAACACATATTCGCTTCGATTCTGGCATGGTACTGAAAGTGGCACGCATCCTGCACTTCCGTTTCCCCAATTACTTATGCAACATGTGTTGCTTGCATCATATAGACCTATACATATATACACAAAAGTATTAAACACACTTTCTATCGTATCATATCGACTAAAGATAATACCAATTTATATTAAAGAAAAGTTCGTCTACTTGTCTCTAAGATATCATATCGACTAAAAATAATACCAATTTATATTAAAGAAAAGTTCCTCTACTTGTCTCTAAAGTATCTAGAAGAAGGTAACGATGAGTTAGTTGACAGAAAGTGTTATTTCTGGTTTGGAGTTTTTTTAACATAATTGGGATGGATTTTTTGATTGCTCATATTCCATGGAATTGGAACGAATAAGAAGAAAGGTGGAGGCTGAAGAGTGGAAGTGAGTGTTTTGAGCAGTGGTGGAAGCCCTCTGATTGAAGAGGGTCACCAATTTGATTTCATTCCTCAAACACATGGATTTGTCCCCTTTAGGATTCTTGGGATGCACCCCACAGGTCTAATTTCAGATATCACTATGTTCCTGCCTCCCAAGTTGTATATTCTCTGTTCATCAAATAACTCATAAATAAGATGAGCTATTATATACAAATACTATTGAGGGAAGATTTTCAAATTCTCATATCCATAAAAAATAAAAAATAAATCCAAATTATAATATATAAATAAATATAAATTTTATTTTATAAATTTGAGTTGAATTATACTTAAAGTAGTTAACCTAAAAGAAATAATGATCATCATATTTTAAATATAAGTTTCTATAGATACTCTTATTATTAGAGGGTCTGTAAAATTAATAGTAGATGAACAGTGTACCTTAAATTGGTCAGATAATGTTGCAATGAGGAGATCAGCGAAGGATATAGATTGGTAAGTTTTGTCTGTTCCAAGGTACTTACTGAGGTAGTCATTGGTTCCTATGAATGAATACATATATAGATTTTTGATAAATGTTCACATAATTCAGTTGAGTTATTTATCATTTCTGCAAATCCTTCTCAACTGTGTTTTCAAATAAATTCACTTGATCCCTCAAATTCAGACATCTTCCCTGCAAAATTTAGATTAGTGTTAAGCAACCAAACCAATAATATTTAATAATTAGCATAATATCAAGTGTTAAAAGAATATGAAGTAATTATATATTCTCTCAAAAATTTGTGTCATACATAGCAAAATTAGTTAATATTATTTCGACTAGAATTTTAAATTTGAATTAAATTTTTTAACAAATTTTTTTGTCTATAGTTCTATTAACTGAAATTCTAACATGACTAAAGAAAAATAATCAAATCATGCATTAAATAAAATGAAATAAATAAACACTACAAAAAGAAAATTATATTCTTGACAAAATTTGACTAAAAAAATAATTTATCAGGAATACTAATATATTTTATTGATAGAAAAATATAGGTAAAAAACAAAATTAATAGATGGTTTTTATTAATAAATTTTATTTTAGGATTTTAGTTACCAACAAATATTTTCTTTGATAGTTTTTTGTTGGTAAAATTTATTGGTAATTAACTTTTTTTATTATCGACATATATTTTTTTAGAAAAATGAATATTAAAGTTTTCACTTTAAGTTTGATAATGTCATGATAAAATTCGGCAATAATTGAATTTGTGAAAATCTTTATAAATCTCTTGGTAATTATAATTTTTAAATTCCATTCGTAACTATTTTAGTAAATTTGTCAGATAAAATAAATACCAATTTTTTTGAATAATTTTGAAAAAATATTTGATATAATTGAATGAAGATGATGAGAAAGATAAAGAAAAAGAAAAGACGATAAAAATGAAGATAGGAAAGAAAAAGAACAAGAGGAAAAAGAGGAGATGACCATCATAATGATAACAATGACAATAATAAAAAAGAAAAAGGAAAAAAAAGAAATGATAAGTTAAAGGTAATATATGAAATGACAATGGTGACGAACACGATAATCATAGTGACAATGACAACGACAACGACAACGAAAGAGAAGGAAAAAGAAAAAATCACTGATGAAAAAAATTTGTCAGCAATTATCAATAAAAATTTTGTCAATAATTACGAGACCAACGAATTTTACTGGTAAAAAAAATTTGTTAATAATTATCAACCAATAATTACTAATAAATTTTAATTGTTGCAATTGATAGTTATGAATAAATAATTACCAACAAATTTCTCTATTTATCCATAGAATTTATTGTTAAGTGATCAATCATTTTGTTCTATCGATATACTTTTATAATTAACTATAGATATTTTCTGTGAGAGTATCTATTCTTTTTTGAAAACAATTAGCCTAATTACTTTTTTGTTTTAATATTTTTTTTTTCATTTTTTTAAACTTTAATGTATTCATTCCAATATTTATTGCAAAGATAATAATTCGTTAAGTTAACGTTAACATCCATCTATATGCTAAGTCCTCTTTCTTCTTATTCTACGGTCTAATTTTCATTTTACTTAATTGTGAAAGACATTCCAGTTTTTCTTTCTTCAAACTAGAAAAAATAAATTCTACAAAAGACTTTTTCTTGTTAGATAGAGAAGAAGTAAATATGAAAAAACAAAAATGGAGAAAAGAAAGAGAGCGTAAATGAAAAAAAAGAAAGAAAGAGGACTTAGTGACACATATCATCACTTTCTTAAAACATTAATATGGATTTAACCATTGTATACTTTTAATAAATATTTGGGTCATGCGAACAATTACTAGAATAAAAGAATAATTAAACAATAATCAAATAATCCTACAATATATAATTGAAAATACATACATACATATATTTGTCACGTGTTATATTTAACACAGTGAAAGAAATGAAAGAGACAAAGGAATATATAAATATAATATTAATATAATGTGATAAGTGTTAGTGGGGTATTTGAAAAAATTGAAGAATTAAAGCCTTTCTAATAAAGTTCTACGAAATTATTTTACTTTTTGTTCTCTTCTGACTTTTTTTATTCACCTTATTTATTGCAGAAAGGCTAAAGTATTAGAAAGTCTTAATTTTTCCGTTAAAAGGATTTTGTATTTCATGGAGTGTTTTGAAAATAAGTTGAAACCCCAAAGAGAAAATAGCATGGAAGAAAAAGAAAAAGATTGGTGTAAAAATACAGAAATTAAGAAAGAGAAATTGAATAATTTGTGTAAAAGTAATATACTTACAAAATTGGCTCCAGTCTCTGGCAGAATTCCACAAGAAGCAGATGCATAATTGATTCCAGTTAAGGATCTTGAACTTCCCATACTAATGTATGGAGGAGGATATGGCAATCCAAGATATTCAGCTGTTCATATCCAAACAAAATAATTTCTTTTAAAGCTTTTTACATGAAAGAATAATTAATTAAAATAAAAATCAAAAGAGATAGATAAAATATAATAATATATACCAATAAAATCGGCAATAGTTTTTCCATTTGTGAACCTTCCGGTGGAACCTCGGGGGAAATCGATTCCATAAGGGAAGAAATTGGCTCTTGCTAAAGTTGGCAGCAAATTGTTGTTTCCATTGTCAATGGAAGAATCCCCAAACAAGTACAATGCAGGAGCAAGAGTGTTGCCACAATGGCTGACCGACCAGGTCAAGAAAACAGAGACCGAAAAATCATCATCACTTTGCTCCATTGCTCAACAAAACCAGAAAGCTCTTACCTACCAAATTGTAGACTTTAAATAAACAAGAGGTTCTTGATTTCTGGTGCTTTTCAACACAAATCTGGAACTTGAGATCCACGCAATGTACATATAAAACGTGAATGAAAACAGTGGTTGATGCATGTCTTACATACATAGACAACATAATTTAATAATGACTGAGATGTATATTTATATTCGTGCATCATTTCTTTTTCACAGGTTTAGATTTGTATTCTCAAACGAATTCACATTGTTAGACGTAATTCTCAAGTTGCGTTTACTTTTCATATGAAAACATCCAAAGTTTATCCAAACATCATGAGATTATGTTTTCTATTTCAGCTCCCATAGTTGTGTGTGCAAAACTTGTTACAACTCTTATATATATCATTTATAGAGATAAAGTTAGTTTAATTATATATATATATATATAATTAAATAAGTTTAATTATATATCATTTATAGAGATAAAGTTTAATTATATAATTATATATAAAGAAATAAAAAATAGAGAAAATAAAATCAAATAAAAAATCAAATATTATTTTTATTTTTTTTAATGTGGTTTTAGTTTTTCTTTAATTAATTTTTATTTTATTTTGTTTGATTAAATATTTTTTGTAACATTTTTTAATTAATTAATAGCATGAATGTATAGTTTTTGGTTATTTTGCTATTTTTAAATTTTATTTAATTTTTTTTATTTTAAAAATTATCTAAATATCCAATCAACATCAATGTTAATAACAATTCAACTTTTTTTATTTTAAATCAAAATATTTTTTTTCTTTACATTAATACAAAATTTAATTTTTATATAGATATTATATTAATATTTTTTTAAATTCACAATTTATTAATTAATATTTTTGAAATTATTTTTAAACTAATAAAAGTTATATTATAAAAAAATTTTATGAAATAAACTTTTGAAACTTAATAAAAATTTTAAAAAAATTCCTCATATAAATCTATTTATAAGATTATACTAACCCAAAAAATAATCTCATTAAATACTAATGTTTTCTATGTTAACTAAGTTGAATTTGACTGAATTTCGATTAAGGATGACATGACCAAATTTTAGTTAGAGCTGACTTGTTTTAATTTTGGTTGGATTAATCCAATCAAAATTCATTGAGATCGACTTACCCAAGATTTGACTAAGACAAACTTAACCAAAACTGTCAAATTCAAACGAAATTTAACTAAACTACTACTAGGACAAACGAAATTTAACTAAACTACTACTAGGACAAACTCAGACAAATTTTACTTAGAGCTAACTCAATCAAAACTCACCTAGGACTTACTTTGTCGAAATTTGACCAAGTCTGACATAGTTAAATTCATCCAAATTTCAGTCAGGACCAATCTTGATAATAAATAATAAAAATTATATACAATAAATTCACAAAAATAATTTGTGTTTAATTTCATTATTATAATAATAATAACAATAACAATAATT